CCTAAGTCCTTAATGAGAGGCAGTATAGCATTAGAAAGGGTATGGTTTTGGGGAAGCTAAATAGACCATTAGTAAATTACTTAATCCCACTATACCCCAGTTTTCCTATTCAAAAACAACCCTTAGAGTGTTGCTGAGATGAGTGAGATGAGATGGTAGATTGTAAACACCTTGCCCAGTATCTGGCCTGTATTTGGATCTTAATACACGTGGATGATCTTCCCCTTTCTAGGAGCTTGCTCCCTGACTGGGAAGAGAACGCATGAACCAGAAAGCCAAATACAGGGCACGGAAAATGGGAATTCTTTGAGTTTGGAGGTCAAGGTTTAGTTCCTATAGCTGGACTGTTACGGGAAGGCTTCCTGAAGGGGTTTGAACCTGAGCTAGGCATAGAAGTTTAAATGTATAAACTGAGCAGAGAGGGTACTTCAAGTTGAGAAAGTAGGTAACCTATAGCAGTGGAGGAAATTGAGGAGAAGGATTGGGCAGTGAGAGAATCTCCTGTTTTTAGAGATCTGCAGACAAGATTCTGTTACTGTTTCCTCTCTTTCATGTTGTTGTTGTTAGTTGCTGTCCAGTTGGCTCTGACTTGTGAGGACCCCATTTATAATGAATGAAACCAAGTATAATAGAAATATGCCTGGTCTTGCACTATCTTTATGATTATTAGTATTTGTGAGTCCATAGTTGTGGCTGTCTTCACTGAGGGTTTCCCTCATCTTCACTGACTCTCCACTTCACCACACATGATGTCGTTCTTCAGCAATTGGTCCTTCCTGATGATGAGTCCAAAATAAGTGAGTCAAAGTCTTAGACAATATTCTGTGATCCATAGGGTTTCATTGGCTAATTTCAGAAGTAAAGCACCAGTCCCTTCTTCCCAGTCTTTCTTAGTCTAGAAACTCTGCTGAAACCTGTTCACCATGAGTGACCCTGTTGGTATTTGAAATATTGGTGGCATATCTTCCAGCATCATAGCAACACACAAGTCACCACAGTACAACAAACTGCCAGATGGTTGCTCTTTCCCATACTATCTTCTAACTGGAATTTTCATTGCTATCTGACTTACATCTCTCTTGCTATAGCTGAAGGCCAATTCTTGCTAGAAGTTGAAGGCAGTGGTTATTTCAGACTTAATGAGCTTTTGGTGTCTTCCTTAAGTATGAATTTATGCATGACACTGGGAGAAAGGCCAGGTAAGTTTCCTTAGACAAAAGCAGCAAGAATGCTGAGGGCCAGTTTCTAGTGAATGTTTTTGGCCACAGGGGACCAAAATAAGGAGTGATCTCAAATGTAAGAACCAAGACCAGTGATGCTGATCATACAGAGAAATGAGTGAAATAAAAAACAGATTGTTAAATCCATGTCATAGGACACATTAACTAATCATTTGGGAAAATAAAGCTGGAATCCCACTTTATAAATGTAGGTAAGGACTTAACATTTTTAAAAACTAACAAATCTCTACCATATATATATATATATATATATACACACACCATATATACTCTTGAAAATGCAGGTTTCAGGGCCTCATCCAAGACAAGTAGAATGGGGCTCAGAAATCTGTATTTTCAATAAGCTCCCTGAGTGATTAAATAAAAATTCTCTATAAATATTCCCTATACTTTCTTTTAGTATTTACGTAATTTTAGGATGAGGAAGGTATGATTTAAAGGTACAAATCATTAATGATTGATAAATAAGTCTACAAATAAAAAAAGCAATTTGTTAAAAAAGAATAAATCCATAAAAATTAAAAAAAGAGATAAATTCACCATGAACCAAAAAGAAAAGGCAAACAATAAGCTAAAAAAAGAAAAGAAAAATATATGACAAAGGTTTAATATCCTTAAAATGTAGTGAGCAATTATAAATTAAAAAAAAATCCCATAAAAGAATGGACAAAGGACATGAAGAGGGAATTAATTTTTAAGAAATGTAAATGTCTACTAATACAATATTTTTATTATTACTAATAAAACTTTTCATCTCTCTAATTGGCAAAGATTTTTTTATAGATACCTAAGTGTTGGTGAAATACATTGGTTCAGACTTTCAAGAGGGCAATTTTGGTAATAAGAACTGTATCAAAAGCCTTAAAATGTTTCATAATCTTACTTGAGAAATTCCACTTCTAGAAAGTAATCCACTTCTAGAAAAAATCATGAGTGATCACAAAGATATTACTACAAAAATGTTCTGTTTCTAATAGGGAAGAACTTGAAACAACTTAAATTTCCAACAGTACAGGTTTGCTAAAATGCATTCTGATATAGTCAACCATTGGAATACTATGTACCCTTTAAAAGAAAATATGTAGAAAATTTAATGACATGCAAAAAGTGTTGACAGTATTTTTTTAATGAAAAAAGCAGCTAACAAAAGTGTGTGATGATCCCATTTTGTAAATATGCATGTTAATCCATAGAACAGTGATTTGAAAAATAAAAATTACCATTTTAAAGGGTTATCTTTAAATCTATTACTGCCTTCTAGTAGACTGTGACTCATTGTGGCCCTGTTATAGGACAGAGTAGAACTGCCCCCATGGAACTAGTTTCCAAGGCTGTAATGTTTTATAAGGATGGAATTGCCAGCCTTTTGGCTGAGCACTTAACCACTGTGTCACCAGGGTTCCTTTATCTCTAGATGGTGAAATTACAAGTGATTATTTTCCTTTTTTGTTGGCTTATCTGTATTTTCTAAGTTTTCTGCACTGCAAATAAATATTTCCATGTTATATAAAATATATTAAAATTTATTATATATGTATATATGGAATTCTGGTAACATAGTGCCTAAAGCATCTGCTAACCAGAAGGTTTGTGGTTCAAACCCACTAGCCACTCCGCGGAAGTAAGACTGGGCAGTCTACTTCCGTAAAGATTTACCACCTCAGAAA